TCTGGAAGTGATTCCTGTAATAAAGATTTTCACTAGCATTACCCTAGGTCTGGCTTGTTGTTTTTGCTAAGCCATGTTATTTATTGTTTTAATCAGCATAGCTCTGCAATGCAGAAACAAGTCATCCTTGCAAACATAAAAACTTTAACAGAAGAAGGGGAAATAATCTTGACATCAAAACCAGCTTTTTGGTCTGTTAAACGTGTGTAATCAGAGACTTCACTCAGGCCTGCTCTACACCTAAAACTTAGGTTGATCTAGCTACTTTCCTCAGGGGTGTGAAAAAAATTCATGCCCCTGAGAGATATAATTAAGCCAACCTAAGCCCAAGTGTAGACAGCACTAGGCTGACAGGAGAACTTTTCTGTTGACCTAGGTACTGCCTCTCGGAGAGGTGGATTTACTACAGCACCCCTTCGATCACTGTAGTAAGTGTCAATACTGCAGGAGCGGAGCTGCAGCAGTGCCTCTGTGCCGCTGTAGCGTGTCTAGTGTAGCCATACCTTCAGCTTAATAAAGTCACTGGGGTGTGTCTTCACTAGCAACGTTAAAGCGCTGCTGCGACAGCACTTTCATGGGGCTGTGTAGTCGCGGCTCCCAGCACTGGGGCACTGTCTACCCTGCCACTTTACAACGCTGAAACTTGCAGTGCTCAGGGATGTGTTTTTTCACACCCCTGAGTGAGAAAGTTGCAGTGCTGTAAAGTGGCAGTGTAGACAAGGCCTAGAAATGACATGTCATGGGTGTTGTAATGATGCTCACTCTGTTTTAGGGCAACACTCTGATGGGCACGAATGGTGTCCCTAGCCTCTGTTTGCCAGAAGCTGGCAATGGGCGACAGGGGATGGATCATGTGATAATTCCCTGTTCTGTTCATTCCCTCTGGGGCACCTGGCATTGGCCACTGTCGGAAGACAGGATACTGGGCTAGATGGACCTTTGGTCTGACCCAGTAGGGCCGTTCTTATGTTCTTATGTACTGTTACTGTATAATGTCCCTTTAAACAAAAGCTCACTGTTGTTTTCTTTCTGATATTTACATATCAAATATTTGTAAACCTGTGAACACTTCCTAAATAAATAAATAGTTTTTTAAAAAGTCTTCCTTTAAAAGGTTGCAGTGTCCTTGTAAGGTGTGAGAGGTAAACACCTTGTCCCAATTGTTAGGCTGGCTGGGACCTGGAAGAAACACTTTTAAAGCTGGTGGGTGTGGCAGCTGCCTTCCATTCCGGCTAGAGGAGGAACAATTAAATAAGCCTTTGTTTAGAGATAGCTGAAACAGCAGCAGCCACCACCCAAAACACAGGCCACATGAAAAGCCTCAGGAATCTGAGCTGGGAGGGGAGAGCGGGGGGGCTTCACTGTGGGCTTTTTAACCAGCATGTTGTCTAACTTGGCCCATTGGGCTCCCAGGGCAGTCACCACTGGAAGACTTGAACACAACTTCCTCTGCCAGCAGCGTAGGGGCTGAATTATTGCACCTGTCCCACTATGCTCAGCACAGCTCCTTGCAGCAAGTGTCTAATGTCTATGGTTTATAATGACTACAGTTTGGAACGACACCTCCTACTGCTTCCTACTGAGACTGGGAGCGGAGGTTGTGACATAGTGGCTAGCGTTGTGTAGAGCAGGGACAATCCAAGTGGTAGTGGGAAACTTGAGCACCATGGATAGCAATTGTGACTAGAAATGTGGGGTGAAATCCTGTCGCCAGTGAAGTCAATGGGAGTTTTGCCACTTACTTAAATGAAGCCAGGATTTTACCCATGGTGTGTTACAGGCATGCTGGGTTAGTACACTAACTGGTTAGTGTAGACAATGCCTAGGTGTACTGCCTCCCATTCAGCGAGCGTGAGTCAAAGGAGTCTTTCCCACGTGAGCTCCAAGAAACGCTTTGAGGCTCACATATACCAAACAGCAGCAGCAGTGCTAGCAAGCAGTTTTAAATGAGAGGTTGGGATAGTGGCCATTCTCTTCTGTTTTAAGGAAACCAAACAATTCACCTTACCCCATTAGTTCAGCGACACTCACAAGAAAGTAATCTAGGTTATTGATTCAGGCTGGGTGGATTTTATTTCCATATTTTATTAAATTAAGACTCCTGAAAATATAAAGAAAAAAGCACCAATCACCCTGAGCATTCAGCACACAAGTGAGTGTAAAAAGCTCTTGCCTAAAGAGAACTCATGAATCTGCAGGTGCAATGCAGAATCTGAAGAGTGGCACATTGGATAGAAAAAACAGATTCATTTAATTGCATATGTAAAATGAAACCTGTATTGGGGTACTCTGAACAAATGAAGGATTAGCATAAATCTGTGTACATTTAAATGGGAAATGTGATATTATATTATAGCCAGGGAAAAAAGAAGGAGCCTGGAGACAAGACAGACAGAAGAGCTTAGCAAAGAAGAGGCTAAGTGAAGGACCTGTCATTGCTGACTCAACCCTGAGTGATGCCCACAATATCAGGAAGATCTGCCAGCAACCCTAGTATTCCTGAACCCTAGTATTTCTGGACTCCGACCAATGGTACATAGAAACAGTACTAGTTCTTCAGGCTGCCCCGCCCTTTATGATGAGGTTCTGTAATTGGCCAGAGTTTGTGGCTGCTGCCTTCCTCCCATTGACTCGTACATGCTCAAACCTGCCAAGCCACTTGGGCCAATCACAGTCATGGGAGTGAGGCTTGGAGCAGCACAGACTCCACTGTGGCATAAAGTGTGCATAACTGAATGGGAGGAGGTAGGTCCAGGCTGGCAGAGCGAAGGATTGTTGTCACAACTCTTGCAATAATATAGGTGTCTGAGCAGAGGATCTGAGACCAGAATACCAACAATCACCACTTGGCAGTGCATATCCTTTGATTTATCAGTTAGCAGCCATAGATCAGTCACAAGGTTACAGTTCAGTAATGGGAACCCCACATCCTCTGTGGTTTTGGAACTAAATACCCTGTTATGATATCACTGATCAAGCTCCATATCTTGAATTCTGCTCATTAAAAAAAAAATCTCTCTTGTTAAAATAGATATCACAGAGTACAGTGTGTGATCATATTTAAGCATGCATGGGGATATTATTTGTATGATAAAAGGTTATAGTCACTCACTTCATAAACAAAGGCCCAGATTAATTCCTGGTGCAGCTGTACTGAAATCAGTAGAGTTACCCCAAGGATAAGCATGTCTCTGACTTTTAGGCCCTATTCAACTTATACCTTTTAAACCAGATTTTGCAACTGGTTAGTGACAGGATTGCCTTAGAAAGTTGCACATTAAATGGCTCAGCTTTTCTGTCATCACCACTACCCTGCTTGTGCATCTGCTGTTTGCATAAGTTCATCCTGGGAAATTTGGACAGCTACTGCACAGCTACTCCACACTGTCTCAGCAAGGGATAGGCCACTACAGAGCAACATCAGCAAGCTGTGACACAATACACCATGGGATGCCCTACCGCAGAGACGGCTGGAAGGAAAGAGGACCAGCCAAACTGGTTGCACAAAGATGGCAAGGATGCTTCACTGCAAGAACCTGTAACTGGTTCAGCACCTGTGGGAATCAGCCACCTGACACTATGCCTCTGGCAGGGGGGAATACAGGGCTATGGTTATTAACAGAGCCTTAACCATATTGTGAATTGATAGGAAACATGGTTAAAACCTGCCGTATCTGGTTACAACCTTGGCTAGAAGTTGTAGCGTGGACACGGCCTTCCACTGTATCATTTTTTGCACAGTTGTACACAGTAGGGAAAAAGGCACAAAATCAAACCAGAGTTAAAATAACAGATACAGGGCTAAAAACAGAGAAAAGACAGACAAATCAGTTATAGCCGATATTCCATCCTTAACTCATCCTGCCATCCCTCTGAGCTGCAGTGCTAGAGACTAGGCAACATCACCCACTGTTTTAAGATGCCCTAAGAGAAATTGCCCCATGATGTAAACTTCATTTCCTCCATAAACAGCTAACAATTCCTTTTCAGGCTCCTTGTGTGCTTTTTCAGTCAGTTCCTTACTATTATTGTCAGCCCTGGGTTTGTATTTAAGGGGACGCTGTCAGGCCAGCATAGCCCCCAGTTTGTAAGACAAGATTCCATAAGGCTAAACTCCAACAGAAATGTCCCCATGATTGGTTTCCCGGGTGGGCGCAGAAAGCCTGTTTCTAAAGGGGTAACATTTCCCACCGCCTCTGGCAGCAAGCTGCGCCCCGCGCTACAATGCAGGGAAAGTTGCAGTGGGGGAGGTTTAGGTTGGATATTAGGAAAAGCTTTTTCACTAGGAGGGTGGTGAAGCACTGGAATGCGTTACCTAGGGAGGTGGTAGAATCTCCTTCCTTAGAAGTTTTTAAGGTCAGGCTTGACATAGCCCTGGCTGGGATGATTTATTTGGGGATTGGTCCTGCTTTGAGCAGGGGGTTGGACTAGATGACCTCCTGAGGTCCCTTCCAACCCTGATATTCTATGATTCTATGAAAGGAGAAAGTGAAACGGCTCCGAACTGACGCTAAACCAGAGTGAAGCCGATCGGCGCCGCCTCCACCCTGCCCGCTTGTGGCGGGGGAGGATGCGGGATGCCGGGCGGGCCAGGTCCGGACGAGCCCGTGCGTGGCGGGGACCCGCGAGGGGGAAGCAGATGCTATTGCCAGGTCTCTGCATGTGCCCTCTGGGGCGGGCTCAGTGAACCACAAGGGGGCTGGCTGGGGAAATGGCCAGGCCAGGGGTGTGGGGCCGGGCTGCTGGGCAGGGCCCTATGCCCCCCCCCCCCCTCCCTCCCGCCCAGGCCCGCGGTCACGGCAGGCCCCGAGGGAGGGGAGGGGGGACCAGAGGCAGGAGCCAGCTCCCCCCCCCCCCCAGCAGCACCGCCCCCGCCCGTCACGTGAGGGAACTTGGGGCCAATGGGCGCGAGGCGCCGCGGGCAGCCGGGGGAATCTCGTTCAAAACGCGGCCGCCTGGCACCGGGGTGCGCGGCGCTGGCTCGGGGCCTCCGCCACCCTGCCGAGCCGGGCCGGGCCGAGCCGAGCCGAGCCGAGCCGGGCCGGGCGGAGGGGGCGGCAGCGGGCGATGCGCGCGGGCTGGGCGGCGCCTGAGCGCGCGGGAAGATGCCGGTGAAGAACAGGTACAACCTGGTGGACGATGGCTGCGACTCGCGGGTCCCCCTGCACAACGAGGACGCCTTCCAGCACGGCATCCACTTCCAGGCCAAGGTGAGCCGCTCAGGCCGGCGCCTGCTGGGGAGCGGAGGGGGCTCCCCCGGCTGGGGGGGGGCGGGGGACGGGACACCCCCCCCCAGGGCCCCGGGCAGTGCCCCGCCCGGGGACGGGGATGCTGCGGCCGGTGTCCGGGGCACGTGTCACGGGGGCACGTCCAGCGCCAGCTAATCCCCTCGGGGCACAGGGGGGCCCCGGCGCCTGGCTGCGGCTGCCCGCGCACCGGGGCCGGCTGCCCGCGGGCGGAGGACCGCGCGGCCTGGTGACAAAGCCGCGCAGTCCCGGCCGAGCAGGGCTTCCGTGCCGGCGGCAGAATCGTGCCAGGGGCGAGCCGCCCGCCCTGGCTGCTCCCTGGGTCGGGTCCTGCCGGGGCGGCCTTGCGCAGCAGTCGGGCAGGAGCGTGGGGAACTTTGTGCTCCGAGAGGCGCCCGCGGGGGAGGGAGTTCTGGGGCCAGGGCAGGGAAGGGTTCGGGTCCCAGGGACCGGCCCTTCCTAGGCTGGTCTGCACAGGGTCACTGCCCAGCAGCCCTGGCCTGGGGCGGTACCATCCTGCCGCGGTAGCTGCGCTGGCAGTCTGGGGGGGCCTCCCTCTCTGCCGGGACAAGTGCCTTTATTCCCCTATCAGCACCTGGGGCGTTAGCGGAGCATAGTTCTGCTGGTCAATTTCCCCCAGCCCATAGCGGTGTAGAGTTTGGGTTCCCTAAGAGCAGTCAAACTAAGTCAGACCAATGGTCCACCTCGGCCAGTCTCCTGCCTCCCAAGGACCAATGTCAGATGTTTCAAAGGGAATGAGCAGAACAGGGCAATTATCAAGGGAGCCATCCCCTGTCATCCAGTCTCAGCTTCTGGCACTCAGAGGCTTAGGACACCCGGAGCATGGGGTTGGATCCCTGACCATCTTGGCTACTAGCCCTTGATGGATTTATCCTCCATGAACATATTTAATTCCTTTTTGAAACCAGTTCTAGTTTTGGCCTTCACAACATCCCCTGGCAACAAGTTCCACAGGTTGACTGGGTGTTGTGTGAGGAAATACTTCCTTTTGTTTAACCAATTTATTTGAGCATGAGCTTTCGTGAGCTACAGCTCACTTCATCAGATGTTGTGATCTGATGAAGTGAGCTGTAGCTCACGAAAGCTCATGCTCAAATAAATTGGTTAGTCTCTAAGGTGCCACAAGTACTCCTTTTCTTTTTGCGAATACAGACTAACACGGCTGTTCCTCTGAAACCTTCCTTTTGTTTGTTTTAAACCTGCTGCCTGTTAATTTCATTGGGTAACCACTGATTATTGTGTTATGAGAAGGAGTAAATAACACTTCCCTGTTCACTTTCTCCCCACCATTTGTGATTTTTACAAACCTCTTTCGTATCTCTCCTCAGTCATCTTTTCCCCAAGCTGAACGGTCCCAGTCTTTTTAATCTCTCCTCATACGGAAGCTGTTCCAGACTGGTCATAATTTTTGCTGGCCTTCTCTGTACCTTTTCCAATTCCAATGTATCTTCTTTGAGACGGGACAACCAGAACTGCACGCAGTATTTAAGGTGTGGGTGTAGCATGGATTTATGCAGTGGCATTATGATATTTTTTGTCATTTTGTAGACTGTTCCTTGTTCACCATGAGTAGTTGCATCCTCTGCTTGTGTTGCCAGATTATCAATATAATGCTGTTTGTCCGCTCTCCCAAGTCGTTTGACCTTCCCATGTGCCTTGCTATGCTGCTCGTAGCATTTGTCCTTTACCTTCTGGGATTTTGCGTCTAAAATTTTTTTCTTCAGGGCTCGTCTGGTTTCTATGGCATTCCATGTGCTGGGTGTAATCCACTCCTTCCTTCTCTTCTGCCTGTAGCCTAGACAGGCTTCACTGCTCTGTTTATAAATTGCTGTTACTTTGTCCCACTTCTTGTTGATCTCCCCGTTTGCATTCCCCTCCTCTTCATCAAGGTCTGCAAGTGTTTGAAACCTGTTCTTTAACTGCAGAACGAAGGCTTTCTGCACTTTTATCTGTGCCAAGCAAAGTATTGTGTAAGATCATAGTCCAGTGTATATCAGAGGTCGTTGATGGTGTTCTCAGAAAAGAGCAAGTGTGGCTGCACAGACTACATCTTCATTCTACGAAACATAATAGAACAGTGCTTAGAATGGCAATGGCAACTCTACATAAATTTCATAGACGTTGAGAAGGCTTTTGATAGCTTTCACAGGACCAGCCTATGGAGCATTCTGCAGGCATATGGAATTCCCTTCCCTATAATCAATGTCATCAAAAGCTTCTACTTCAACTTTACATGCAGTGTTGATCACAGTGAGCTCAGTGTTGAAATCAAAACAGGAGTACATCCGGGGTGTGTCATGTCTGCAATCCTCTTCAACATTGCTATCGACTGGGTAATGCGGCGTACAACAGAAGACATGCCAAGAGGCATTAAATGGACACTCGTCTCATCCCTTGAAGACCTGGACTTCGCAGATGATGTCGCTCTCCTATCACATACCCAACACCATATACAAGAAAAAACAACTCTACTCAACGCATTCAGCCAGCAAATTGGACTGAACATCAACCACAATAAGACAGAGATCATGACCTTTAATATTGCCTCACCATCCCCAGTGCAGATAGAGGGTTATTTTCTCACCAATGTAGAACCATTCACATACTCGGGCAGCACCATCAGTCAGGACATCCAGAACAAAATCAGTAAAGCCAGGAACACCTTCAGGAGCTTAAATACAGTCTGGAAATCATCATCAAAATACAACACCAAAACCAAACTCAAGATTTATCAGAGCTGCGTCCTTTCAACACTACTTTATAGTGCAGAATGCTGGGGAATGAGAAAGTCTGATGTGTCCAAACTGTCTTCATTCCATACAGCCTGCCTCAGAAAAATCCTCCGTATCTTTTGGCCCAGAACAATCTCAAACCAAGATCTATTGACAGTGCAGCCAAGAGGATCTGAGCACCATCATTGCCAGGAGGCGTTGGAGATGGATCAGCCATGTGCTTCAGATAGAAACTGATTCCATCACCAGAGTAACAATAAGATGGACACCTGAAGGTAAGTGAAAATGAGGCTGCCCGAAAACAACGTGGAGAAGAGCTGTGGAAGCTGAGCTGTAAAACCTGGGGCACAGTGGGGAATCATTGAAAGACTTGCCAGAAACAGACAGGAGTGGAAGAGCTTCATCACTGCCCTAAACGCCAGAGGGGTAATAGGAACATGATGATGATGATGATATTTACTGTCTTATTGTAATCAGATAATGGGCAGGCTCCCATTGAAGTCACTTAACACATGGTGTGCTGAAAAGAATGGACTTGATCAGACAGGGCTTGGTTGGGAAGAGGAAGAGAAGCTGTCACTGACATGGCTGCTGGTACCCAAGAGCAGGTGTGAGGCATCTACTGCCCTGTAGCCCAAGGAGACATGTGGTAAAACACGTAACATGGAAGTGCAGAGTGGAGCCAGGTACGAACTGGACAGCCAGGGAGTGAGTTGCAGGAGGCCCAAGGCTGAGGAGATGTCCGTGCACTGTGGTTTTCAGCCCCCTTGTCTGTTAAAACATTGAGGCCAAAGCTTTCAGAAGTGTTCACTGACTTAGGTGCCTTGGATGTTGGGTGCCTAGCTTCAGGACCTTGCTGTCCTAGAGGTGCTGGGACACAGCTGCCTTCCAACCCTGGACTTTCGGGTGGCCTTGCACTCTTACTGTCAGGCCCACGATCAATAGACACTTCAGCATTTTTGGCCACCTGGCTTTAATTTGGAGCTGCAGGTGGGTGCTGGTACTAAAGGGCCATAACTGGAGTTCTAATGCCCTTACCAGGCTACTAAAGTCACGTGTGTTAGTGTTGGTGTCACGGGTAATAAACCATGAACAAGGCCTAAAAGGCTTTCTGACTCTCTATCTTCCTTTAGCGTTCTGAACCTGCTGTTCCCACGCTAGTTTCAGCCCCATTCAGAATATGTTTCTCTCTGCAAGTGGGCTTTAAAAAAAAAAAGCAAAGGAACTTCAAAACATGCCAACAAAACTTATAGTGCTTTTGAGCAGAGGAAGTGTGGAGGGGAAAATAGCAAAAGGTCACAGAGGCTGAGCTGTTATGCTCAGATTAAACTGGTTTGCACTACATTTCTTTTTGGTAGCTGTTTTTGGAAGCCTAGCTTGGAAACTTTCCTGTGTAGTTTGCTTGGGAACTGATCTGGAAAGGCTCCTGTTGACTGCACTGGACTTTGCATCACGTCCTTAATACTTTTCTATCTATGGCAGGTGCCAGTGGGTGCTGGGTGATGATAGTGGCCTGTGCTGTACAGGAGGTCAGCCTAGATTATTTAATGGTCCCTTCTGGCCTTGAACTCTAATACTAGGATTCTAATAGTATTTGTATCATGAGCATTTGTACTCAGAGGCTCCACTTGGACTGGGAAATTGTTCAGACACACAGGGGTAAACTGACCCTGCCACAAGGAGCTTAATAGTTAGAAAAAATACTTCCCTGGAAACCAACATAGCAATGGCCATTGTGCTAAATTCCATGTTAGCGTATTAGCCCTTTTGACCCACTGTGCTGCAGGAAAAGCTATAGAAGGCCAAGTGTTAATGTAAATAGAAGTAATCTTGAGGCTGGATCTGAAGAACTGCTGGTATCACTGTCAGGGACTTCATATTGATCATGAAAAATGTCCAGGCATGACTACATCTGCCTTTCAGTAAATGACTTCATTGTAACTGGCTTTCTGTAGTCAGTGCAGGGGGAATGAGTTTATAATTTAGCTGACAAAATGAATTGCATTTTGCAGGAATAATTCTAGCTTGTTTGCAGGTGGCCTGACAGATTAGAAATGGAATTCATTTCTCCCCTCCCCTGAGCTGTAAGGAAAGGGAACGCATTCAAACAAAGCTTTAAGAACGCTGATCTTGTGCAGCTCAGTTTTCCTGCTGAAGGAGCTGTAGATTTAAAGAGGATGTGGGAGAGAGATCTGTAAATTCTCAACTGTGTGTATAAAAATCTAGCTTTGCTGAACAGGGAGATACAGTATTTTGAATGCTTAAAACATAACAGCTGATCTACTGGATACCACCTTGACCAGGCGAAAAGCTGTTACATTCAGGAACTTTTAAAAGTTACTATGAAATGAATTTACACTTCTAATGGGTAGGATAGCCACCTGCAGTCAGCCAGCTTTAGGACTACCATGCTATAGAGAGAGTGGATAGCTCTATAAGTATTCAGCTACTTGCCCAACTCTCCTCTTCAAGTTGTAATGGGCTGGCTTCTCTTCCACCCTCACAGATGAAGTTTGCATTACCATAGTAACATGCTTACTTAGTGCTACTATAGGGTCTGTCTCTTCCAGTTAATAGTGTCTCACTGCAGGTACATCAGACTGGCTGTGCCTCTTAAAATGACCAGTGTATTAATTATCTAGCTTGCTTCGTGCAAGACTTTTGTTTATTGGTAGTGTTTCTCATCTCTAATTCTTTCCACGTTGTAAGTACCAAGCCACATTGCATTATATGAATGAGTTTATATTTCAGATTTTTAGGGATGAACTCCCAATGCACACACAAGAACCTGATACTGCAAGCTGCAGGTGAGCAGCCTTACACTTGGGTGGAGCCCCCGGTGAACTCGATAGGGCTCTCCATAGGCAAACACAGAATCATAGAAGATTAGGCTTGGAAGAGACCTCAGGAGATCATCTGGTCCAACCCCTTGCTCAAAGCAGCACCACCCCAACTAACTCATCCCAGCCAGGGCTTTGTCAAGCTGGGCCTTAAAAACCTCTAAGGATGGAGATTCCACATGGATCAGCTTGCAGGATTGGGACCCCAATACAAGGTCTGAGAGGAAAGCCAATAGAAGTGTTCTTAGCCACTGGCTCTCTCCCCATTGCCTACTGATAACAAGATTGCAAAACGCCAGCCTACTGCATTAAATAGAATTTTTTCATGTGACTCACTATAGATCATGGCCCTTTGTGAATGGGGAAAGCCAAACAGATCCCATTTTGTGATGTTAATGTACCTTTGCCACTATAGAAAGGGGGAGGAAAAGCTAGTCCTTTCCTTCCCAATGTACCCCAAGTACTCATGCTCTGGGGCCTGGATCTCTCTTGTGACTCACCGAGGGGTTGCTGTAAGTAGTTACAAAATGGCATGTCTGTAGAAGCTGTGGAGACATTTACAGATGGTGCAGGGAAATGAGATGAACTTTCAAGATGCTTGCAGTGCTTATTTCTAGGCAGCTGAAAGAGCAGTAAATACTGAGCTAAGACGGCCAGTCTGTGTGGAGAGCTCTTCATTGAATACAAGCTTGCAAAATAAAACTCTACAAGCTGTTGGGTCTTGCCAGCTTCAGCTCTTGCATCAGTGCTTTCAAAAACCTATAAAGATGTCAACATGTCCAGTCAGAGCCATGGGCTGGTCTTTAGGAAGAGCAGGAGCTGCCTGCCAAGCTTCCATGGGGCTTCCCTGACTTGCTGACCACAAAACTTCCTCTAGACTCACAAGCCAAACCCTCTTATGCATGGAGGCTGAGCTTTGTCAGCTCCAGCACCCCTGATTAACCTGGGGGAGGAAGGCAGGCTGCCTGCCATGGCTGTGTATGAGGGGAGAGGGCTGCATGCTCCACCTATGAGACAATGCTAATGCCGACATATTGGACTGGCTTTTGGAATCGGACTCCCTCGCTCCAGCTGTCTGACTTCCACAGCATATGGCCTGAGGACAGCAACCCGCACTCCCCGGTACTGACAGGATGCTGATCACCCACTCGGTTCTGCTTCTGTTTACTGGCTGACTCGGGCTATTCTCTCTTCGCTCCCCCTTCCAGTCAGTTATGCTGCAGATGAGCCAGAGGCCCTGTGGAGAGTTCACTACTCTTTGCATCACACGAAAGAACTGCTCTGTCTGTGGGAGGTTTGGGGGTTCCCCCATGGCTTGGGGCAGAAGGGCAGCCTGGATCTCAAGCTTTGCACTGGCTTGCTTTGGTTGGTGGCGGTGTGGGCATGTTCATCCCGCCCCATGTGCCATCCCGAGTGTCCCCGTCCTGCAGCAGAGTCCTCCCAGCAGAACAGTTTCTTCCTGTCACTGTTCAGATCACTGTGTCCCTTGGCTGGCTTGGCACACAAGCGTGGGCAGGCTGGGGCTGAGCATACGGTAGCCGTGCTGCCACCACAGGGCAAATGTCTGTGGGAGGGTTGGCTCCTGCTGTATCAGGTAGGCGGTCAAGCTACATTTTTGTCCAGAGCAAGCGTATGACCAATGTATATGGTCCTGATGCCACCCAAACCCACAGGCAGGACTAGAGGTAGCCAGGATACAGAAGGCTGCATTTGTTAATTGGTTGTGGGCAGGTTTTCAGGCTGGACCTGGAACTTGCCATCTGCCTTGAGCTTGAGCAGCCCTTATTCAGCAGGCAGAGGTGCTAACTCTGCAAACCTAAGTTTTGCATGTCCTGTTACAGGATGCTGGGCAACTTGCTGTTTCCGGTGGAAATGTAGGGCTGCAGCTCCCATTAGCTCCTACTTATTGACAGGCTGGGCCAGCACAGAATACCAATTCTGGCACGTTTTCCAGGATCAGCTAGAGAATTCTGCTAGGCCAAGCAAGCAAAAAGGCAACTGATGTCCAGAGAGGTGCAGAGAAAACAACAAAGGGTTTTGACCAGGGATGCAGACACATTGCTCCTCATCAAAGCCAGTAGCCACAGAGCCATGCACTAGCCTCAGTCCTTGGGGGTGCCTGGCATTCTGAGGTTTTCAAGAAGCTTTTCTTGGTGAGGGGAAGGAAGAAGATAGGAACCAAAATGTAGCAATCAGCTTGTCTGAGATGCAATATATGTAATGATTTGGCTAGCAGCTGTCCCCCTGGTTGTGGTTGCCAGCAGTAATCTCCTTTCTCCAGTGCAGAGTATTACGGTCTCTAGTGGAGTCCAGCAAACTGGACTGGGCTTCCAGGAAGGGGCTAGCTTTTAGTGGGGTAATGTGGGGTAATGTAATGCCTAACGGATCTAAGGGCATTTCCAGAACTGGAAGAGCTCAAGGGCTTAAACCTGACATTAAGGATCCATTGATACCTGTGAGGGATCCTCCTTGTAGGTGCTGACAGGAGTTAGAGGTGTCTCACTGCCCAGCCACTTATGAGCTAATTATCAATCAAAGATGCTGTTCATTTTGAAGAAGTCGTGACTCCTTCACTGCAATTTGTTTTAAGACCATCCCACCACTGTTCTGTCTTCCAGTACATCGGTAGTCTGGATGTGCCGAGACCCAACAGCCGTGTGGAGATCGTGGCAGCCATGAGAAGGATTCGGGTGAGTCTGACTGGGAGCCCTAGTACCACTGCTCATGGCAGGTTACCGTGAATGGAAGTATACAGGTGTAGTTGCTCTGTGCTGCTCTTCCCCAGACCCCTCTGCTTTTAACAGCTGGAATTTGAGCAGCTTGACTGCTTTTCTTGTCTAGCTTTGGAGCCACGCTCTTGAGACATACCAGGACTAGATCCAGCACCCTGTCCTCCCCAACTCTCCTCTCCAAAGCAGGGAGAGGAAACCAGCTCCACCTCCACTGAGTTATGTAAGGTTTCTGTTTTCCTCTCTGAACCTCACACACTTCACATTTCCCTTTTGCAAATTCTTATTTTAACAAAGACTTGGCGAGATTCCACTTTTCTCCTCTACCTTCTTATTTATCAGAAGGGCTTGTGAATGGGCACTAGAATTAACCAACAAAGTTATTAGAATTTCTGTCTCAAACCAGTTTTGAAGTTTCTCAAGTGCAGGTTTATTTTCTCAAAGTCTCCATCCAAGAGGTAGCACTGATGGCTGCTCTGACAGTCTCCATGTTAGTTATATTGTTACCCATCTGAAATACTAGGGTGTTTTTTAATTAATTCAGAGACTGTTCAGAAATGTTGCAAACTTCAACTGAAGTAGGTTTGGAATTGTGCATTTGAAGCCTTCAAAGGGGATTATCCTGGTTTTCTTTTGGAGTTTAAAAATCTAATGTAATTTAAAATGGCTTTTTTAAAAAAAAAAAAATCTTTGCCTGTAACCAGCTGGAGAGTTGATTTATTCATCTCCAGCCAAGTGCAGAAATGAGATTCCCTGCCTCCTGCCTGCCCAGAGACTATTAACATAGCTCCTGCTCATAAAGGACACAGTGCAGTGGCAATCTAAATTGCCAGATTATTTATCTTAAAAGTAGAAGTTAATAGCAAAGAGGCAACGGATGGGGGCCAGTGGGGCAGCTCAGATGCTGCAGTGAATAGCAGTATATCTTGGGCTGCGTCTTATTTTTGGCCTGTCAGATTTAAAATAGCACTGCAAAAGAGCTTCATTTCTGATCCTTCAGTGGCTATTTTAAAAAAATAAAATAAAGGTGTTTAATTCCTGTTCCCAGCAACTGTGTACAGCCACTGATTGAGCACCTGCTATCGGCATGATGAATGGCTTAATATCGATCAGGGAATTCTGGCAGTGCAGCAACACGCTTGGGTGTTGGGAAGCACGTAACAATGCCCTTCTGCTCTCGTGGATGCAACTGATTAATCTGGTGACTGAGTTGCAGCTTTATCGCAATGTATTTTAAAGCAGCTATTCTGTTAAAGCAGCTATAACCTCAGCCCATTGTTTGAAGGCAGGGCTTTCCCTTTTCACTTGTGTGTGCACTGTACAGCAGGACCTTATTCAGACACGTCCAAGCTGTGTGGAGCAGAGGATGCTGCTCTGCTGAAAAGTTAACTAGCTTGGACCTCTTACTAGAGGATAAGGAACAGGGTTTTTGAGAAGGATACTTGAGCACAGACAGCATAATAATAGGAACTCTGAAGAAAGGTAGTGGCTATTTAGTGCTAACTTGCGTACAGAGGCCTGGTCTACACCCGAATTCTTTCTCTCTCCTGTCAGTGTAGCTGTCCCTGTGGAAGAAACCATGGTACAGCCACAGGCCATTTGTGCCTATTACTCTTTAAACGGTGGTCTCCTGGAAAGCCGGCATCCTGTCAGTGCTGGCACCAGCATGGCTCCCCTGCTGGGAGTAATATTGGGAAACTCTAAGATGTCTACCCTGCCCTTGGCAGGTTGCAATCTATGCAGACAGGGCATCTGGGATATTAAAGACTATTAAGGAAAAACTGGGTACATACAAAATTAGTGCTTGTGAGAGGCTCTGGAGTGACAAGACCAGAGACTGGCGTTGTCTAGCCATAAGACGGGGTATACAGTGCAAGCCTCCTCATGCCACCCAGTTTGCCTCCCCAGTGACCTGAAGGGGCCGCCTCTAGGAGTGAGGGCATTTCCACCAAGATTGGCAACAGAGCGAGCCAGCTGGCATGTGGGCGCTTGCCTAGTGGCTCTGAAGAGAGGCCACAAACTCATGTAGGCTGCTGCCACCCTGGATTGGCACCAGTCATCTGTATGAGAAGCTCAGTGTCCCAATCCCCTGAGTCAGCCAGCCCCACCCCTCTTTTTATTTTTCCAGGCTCTGGCAGAGCTGGTTAGTCCAGTCACTCATTTCTGGAAAAAATTGTATTTGGGGTTTGAAACTGAATCTCTACTCCATGTCTATGGAATCCTGGATCTCCAGCCAGGGGCGAAATGCTAGCTCTCTATGGGGGGATGGGGGCGGGGGCAAGGGCAACAACACAGGCTACTTATCACATGCTAAACTCAGTGGCGCCCCCAGAGAGTTGCATAGAGACATAGAATGAGAGAAACAGCAATTCATGCATCTCGCTGCTCAGAAAGTCTCCTCTCCTTCAGGCCTCATTATGCCAGGCCACATTCTGCATATGGCTGCTGCAGACTTGCCGCTAAAGCTGCAAATGAAATATACAAGAGAGACCCAGGGACACTAATCCATTGATGTGCTCTTCCAGCTCAGCAGACAGTTGTGCACAATAAGTCAGTTAGCCATAAATCCTGGGAAGTTGCTATCTGAGATTCTCATTCATGAATCTAACATTGGTCTGTTAAAAGCACAAGCTGTTCTTTTGAGGCATAGGCTTTTTATACAACTTTAAGTGGTAAAAATTCTATCCATAATCGATCCTATCACTGAGTTAGTGGCATGCCTTTTGTTCGTACTCATGGAACTAAGTTCCATTTGCAAGACAAATTGAAAAACCTTGTTGCAGATCATGTTTCCTCAGTTAGAGGAACTGCATGCAAATCCAGTAGGTAGAGCAGGGGGAATGGCCATTCTCTGCTTAGCTTTTCATTATGCAGCACTAGTCATACATTTAAAATTTCCTAATCCTCCCCCTGGATTATTAACTACATACAGTTGCCATGTTATTATAGGATTCTCTGGGTTCAAGCTAATCCCCTGCCCACTCCTACACTGACAAAGGAGGTGATGGAATTTGTTTAGTACCTGAATAATAAGTAGGACCAGAAGTATGACACACTGACAGGCATATCTAGTTCCAACCACTGCTTGGTCAGAATCGAGTTCTTAGTGCAGCTATGGCCATTCAGTCCAGGAGGGAATGCTTCTAGTGGTGATGCCGCAGAGAACCTGTGATCTGGGGAACTAGTGTCACACAATAGCTGCCTAACTTTTGTTCCATTGCCTGAGGCATTCCAGGTCTAAGGCTTTGTCTACACTAGCACTTTTGTCAGCAAAACTTTCGCTGGCCGGGGGTGTGGGAAAAAGCCAAACCCTGACATAAGCGTCACCAACAAAAGCACCGGTGTGGACGTAGTTTAATTATGCGGGCAGGACAACTCTCTCCTGCCGGCACAGAGCAGCTACACAGGAGACCTTACCGTGGCACAGCTGGAGCGGTACAGCTGTGCCGCTGTAAGACCCATAGCGTAGACATCGCCTAAGAGCCTGCAGGGTTTTCTCTCTGGCTGTCAAGCCCTTGCCACATGCAGAGGCAGTAATGTATTCGGAGAGCGTTGGAGTTGATTGATCTGCAGGAGAACTGCAGGTGACATGACATTCCTGGAGTTCCAGAATGCCAGGGTGTGATTGCAAACATTTTCTTTCTGCATGACTCCAAGGAAAATTCATTCTCATGAGCCAGAATCAAAGTGATGCAGCAAATCTCTTGGGGGCAGGTGTATCTGCTCCCTTATGCCTTCTAGGGAGAAATTAATGGGCAAGGGTCTGCCCTTGTGCACAGGTGAAGCTCTCCCTGAAGTCCTTGAGAGTAGAGGGCAGGTCTGAGGGCAGAACTGGGCCTGCTATTTGTAGGAAGGTAGCTGTGGGGAAGCGGTATTTGAACTGTAGGAATGCTAGCTCAAAGATCATGGGGCCTACAATGTGCAAATATGAGTCTTCCCACCCTGTGTGGTGTGTGTGTGTGTGGATGGTATGAATGGGCAAATAGGCATCTCCTGCCAATGCGGAGCTGTCTCTCCCTCTGCAGTCTGTCGGCACTCCACGTGGCTAGGTGACTATGGCAGAGGAACAGCTATTGGTCCCTTCTCAAGGCAGTGGGATTTAAGATTCAAAGAGCATCATGATCTACAGCTGATGTGTCACTGGCTCGCTCTCTGTGGCCTGGGGGTGGGGCATAGACTTAGCCGCTGGCAGCACACCAGAGCCCAGAAGTACAAAGAGCATAACCCAGGCGTGGGCAAACTTTTTGGCCCAAGAGCCACATCTGGGTATGGAAATTGTATGGCAGGCCATGAATGTTCACAAAATTGGGGTGCAGGAGGGGATGAGGGCTCTGGCTGGGGGTGCAGGCTCTGGGGTGGGCCAGAATTGAGGAGTTCAGGATGCAGGAGGGGGCTCCAGGATGGGGCAGAGGGTTGTGGGGGGTGAAGGCTCTGGGGTGGGGCTGGGGATGAGGGTTTGGGGTGCAGGAGGGTGTTCCAGGCTGGGACCAAGGGGTTTGGTGGGGTGTAGGCTCCGGACGGCACTTACCTCAAGCAGCTCCTGGAAGCAGCGGCATATGCCCTCTCCAGCTCCTACACGGAGGCACGGCCAGGCAGCTGTGCGTGCTGCCCTGTCCGCAGGTGCCACCCCTGCAGCTCCCATTGGCCGCAGTTCCCGACCAATGGGAGCTGCGTGGGCGGTGCTTAGGGCAGGGGAAGTGCGCGGAGCCCCTTGGCCGCCCCTAAACGTAGGAGCCGAAATGGGGACATGCCGCTGCTTCTGGCAGCTGCGGGGAGCGGCCCTTGAACCTTGCTCCTCCACTGGAGTGTGGGAGCGGGGCAAACCCCAGGCCCTGCTCCCCAGCAGGAGCTTGAGGGCTGGGTGTGCCCAGCAGGCTGGATGTGGCTGGCAGGCTGTAGTTTGCCCACCCCTGGCATAATCCCCGCTCCTTTTCTCCTGCCTACAGTAGATCCTGGAGTCT